ATTCAGATGCTTTCATGCGTAATTACTAGAAAACACAAACCTGTTATTCTGTTAGTCTATCAGCAGAAAAGCTACCAATACCTTGAAAAATATAAATCATTGCAAATATTATTAACTGCAATGTGAATACTCTGTCTAAAGTACCATTTTAATTTTCTTAATAATTCCCTTTTCCTATTTCGGCTGACATTGGGAATGCAAGGCCAGATCTCAAGCTTTGCCTACACAACAGATGACTTCTGGCGTAGCAAGGTTTTCCCAGGATGTGCCAACATGTAAATTGTAACACCACCGAGCAAGCAAAAGCCCTTTTTTAAGGACATACTTATACTGCAAACCTGTATTCTTACTTCTAAAAGCTTCCTGTTTGTTTTTTCAAGGTGGGAGAAGAGTGCTGTGAGGTTTACTGTGTTGGTACAAAGCACCACTTTGCTGCTACCGCTGCATTGACTCAGGAAGCCGATCGAGTCCATTTACTACCAGCAAAGGACCCTCAGCTCCCCCATGGTTTATGACTCTCTAAGCACGTGTGAAATATTTAATAAAAGATACACTCCTCACACAGACTGCCTTCTCTCCTCCTTTGGTGGGCTTTCACTGTTTGATTTCAAGCCAAGGTCTTCGCAGCTAGTAAGCAGCATGGTTGCAAAAAAAAAAAAAAAAAAAAAAGCAGCATTATGGGCCTGATCTGGTCGTTATTCAATCATTAAATTATCAGCTGCTGAATGCAATCTTCTATGATATCCCACAACAAATCTCACAGTGGAGACACCTGCATGACAAATACTATAGGACGTGATGTCACTTGTTAGCAAAATGTTTCTGTTTATAGCATCAGGATGAATTTAGAGCTGTATCCATAAAAAATGACCAAACATAACAGAATCAATCAGCAATTATTCCTATCCCAAGCACTGTGATTTCCAGCACTGACCCATTACGAAGGGTTATCTCCGTTTCCTTTGTAAGCTTCTCCCTTCCACCTTCTCTTGTAGAATATAAACATCGTTTGGAAGCTTGAAATGGAAATGTTTTCCTTACCAAATGCTATTTTCCTTCATCATATGCTGAGAATGAATGGTTCTTCTTGAACATTCAGCTGCTGAAGAGAAAGAAAAAGTGCATATCAAGTTTTAATTCTGTCCACAATGACAACGGCTCTTTTTCATGTTAAGGCTTAAAGGAAAACAAAGACTCTAAACCTCAAAATACAGGTGCAGTTGGACTGATTTCTCTACCTTGTGCAGATTCACGATACTCCTTTTAATGGATTTCTTGAGAAAACGAGGCGAGGAAATTATGCAGATGCAGAAAGAGCAGAGTATACCACAGGGAAAATGCTGGTGGAATAATGACAGTTGGGATCTAGAGCAGTCATATTTTGACTGTTTTGCCATGCTCGTCTTCAGTGACATCTCAGTCAACAACCGCACGCGGGGCTGAACAGACTGCTTCACTAGCTGGCATGTCACCAGGGACTGTCACCAGTGCTTCAAAGGTAAATTACCCTGAATTAAAAGATTTAAAGCAGTTGTGAAAAACTTAAAATCACTTTTCGGATGTCAAAATCATTGGTAATATTATGGCTTGCCGAGAATTAAAAAAAATGTCGGATGATCTAATATAAAGCTCTGCTGGATAAAGAAAGATCTGGGGAATTTTCTGTTTCTTACCTGGCAACAGCGCTTATCCAAAGTACTTTAGGAAAATAGATTAAAATCATGTCAACCCCTCATGTTACACTTCTAAGAAAATTTTAAGCTTATTACAACTAAAACTAGATTTAGGAAAGCAGCTGAACCTTGGACAAACCATCCTTTCTGCTTCTTAGCTGCACAGCCTTCCCTTAAGATTTGCCCAAGACTATAGTTTAGATGTTTTCCAAGAAACGTCAGTGACAGCTGTGTCATGCAGAACTTTTGGATACAAAACACATTTTAGAGGCATTTAGTACTGCACGTGTTTTATTGAAGAATGAATGAATCAAACAGCCTTGCTAATTAAGCTCTGCTGGAAATGGTAATCAATTGAAATTTCAGGTGGCGAGTAAGATTATAAAATGTGCTGCAGAAGAACCCTTAAACTACTGTCATTTTAAATGCACACTTTTTAACCAAGTCCTGAAGCACTTTGGGAGCTACTTGTTAAACGTCTTCTGAGTAGCACTGTGGTAATAGGAAAGGAAAACAAATTTCAAACACTGTTTATGGAAGGGGATTGAAGATCAAATGCACTGTACAAAACATCAAGGCATTCACTGTTGGTCAAACACTGTAAGAGAACATTATCCAGCACAATACTGACACATGCTAACTGATACATTCTAATAAATACACATGTAAGCAAATGGCAAAAAATGATTATAAAGTAGCCATCACCAGGTCTTGAATAAAATTCTATTAACAATGACTTTCCGTGATACAAAAATAATAACAATCTTTAGAATAATAGGTGTAATACAATAGTTACACTTGCTCACTATACAAATACTCAGTCCATTGGTGAGAGACTGCGATTAAAGTCGTTGCCTATCCTTACACAGCTCTACAAACGCACACTGTTACATGAACACGACGGATAATTGCTTTTACTGTAGTTACTTTAAAATATCTGTTAACAAAACCCCAAGAAATTGCCCCAGAAATGGTTTGGTTTATACCTATTTGAACTATTACATTACAGCAGCATTGGAAGCAAGGATGATGCTCTGCTCCTCTTGGCACCGTACAAGTAAGTGTAAGTCGATAATCTCTGAAATGACCAACACAACAAAGCACACTGCATAGCGATTGTAAATCCTAACTCCTTACATAAACTACCTTATGTACACCAGGTATGAATGGTTTGCATAGTTGCACAGTAATAGTTATTCACACTAGGGTTTTTATGCTGTTCTTAAAATATGGGCAGCTAACATCCAGACCACCAGTCTGCTTTTTAAGACTCCACAAACTTAAGTCACACGCTGTTAACCAGATATTGCTCACACCTTTATATTACAGCAAGAGAAATAGGCTATCACTTAACTGACATTGATTGTAAAATACACTGATTTATCAAAACATTAATTGTACTTAATCCTTTTTTTTTCTTTTACTTCTGAGGGCAAATGTACAAAACTAGATAAAAAACCCCACTGCTATTAAATAAAGCCAATTTAAAGCAACAGAAAATCAGACTGAATCAGCTTGTGCTATTTGCTTTGTCTAAAGTTGCAAGGAGAGAAAAAATGCACTTGAAATACTGATGCCCAAAATAGATTCTATTTCTTCTGATACGTTAAGGACTATTTTATATTCATGAGCTCTTACCAAAGGTGTATATCTGTGAGAAAACTGTCACTTTTGAAAGCAAAGGGAATTAGCCAGTAATTCGTAAAATTTTAGAGATGCTCACGAGATTCAAGTAACAGCGACCATGGGAAAAACTCCACAGATATACTGACAGATACCAATTCACATCACACTTTAACAGTTGGTGTACTTTTTTCATTACGAATCTATAAATAAATTAGAAAAAGTGCATTAATTATTGGTGGCCATCGGAAGGTTCTTGCTGACCTTTGCATATGTCAGAGTTGCATATGAAATTACGCATTTTTGAAGTTTTTCTTTGCATGCTTTACCTATTTACAAGAAAATGCATTCCCAAGCAAGTAACAAGCATGAGTAACATACAATACTGAAATGCAGCTTTAAGATAAATGTAAAGTTCCATCAGGTTACTTGATGTTGATCACTACAGAACTTCACAAGTACTGAGAGCTTAAATTGAAACAGTAAGCACTTAATTTAATAAGTGCAGCACTGATTCACAAGCCTGAAGCTCGACGACTACATGACAGAGCTGCATTTAATTCAGTTCCGGACATGAAAGTATGGGTTTTTTTATAATAAACAATTCCATTCAGGTAAAATTTCCTTTAGCCTACAAACTCCACAACTTAATTTCAATGACTTTTTATTATTATTGTTTGGTAGAGAAGACCTTATATAAATTCTCTCAGCCTGTACCTTCCCAGCAAGGTGGACCCTAGCATCTGTCTCGATATTTTCAAGTTGTTTTGGGAGAGCAGACTGGGAGTTTCGTGCCAAGTGAAACTGCTCTTGTCATAGATCAGTGTAATTCTCCTACCGTACTCCACAAAACTGTCAAACATCTATGTCTCTAAGCTACACATTTGTATAAAATTTTCTTCAGATCACTACTGCAGGGCTATTATTTCAGCAACTATAACGCTGTCCACATTCTTAGATGTCCATACATTTCTCATCAAACAGCAAACTTCAACACAATGGTTCTTGTAAGACTGTTTATTGAATTTAACAGTTCAAATGGAGTTTAGATGCAGTTTGTATAAAAAAACCCTGTCTTTTCATATAAGCTGCAATCAAAAATAACTTTACAAAATAGTAAGAGACTTACTGAGACAGTAAGTTTCCTAACATGTAAAACTATAAAGTATTTGTGCATGCTCACTATTCAATTTCCTTCTTTGTAAGAGAGGAGTTGTTAAAAGGAGTTTGTTTTTTTAAATCTCAAGGTAGTCTACGAAACTGAATCCTTGTCATCACAGTTCAGATATACAAGATGAAAACTGGCACAGAGAAACGTAATATTTTTTTTTTCCCAAAAAGTTGAGGCAGCTTTTGTTGAATGGTGTCTGCATCGGTAAATTTTTTATAAACTCCGGTGGCTTTGGAGCATCAGAGAGAATCCTTTTTTTCTTCTGAGATCTTGGAAAAAAATTTCCCACAAGTACAGACAAATAAGGAGGAAAAGAAGTAGCAGCATGTTTCCTACATACAGCCCAACGCCATGCGCAGCTGCCCAGCGTCTCAAAACAAAACTGAACTTGACGTCAGAGGGAGGCATATCCCCCTCATGTTACAAGCACATCTGAGATTTCTCTGGGGAGGGGGAAGCAAGCACGAGGGTAAAGCGTAAGTCTACTTTTCATGCATAGCTACTGTGCGCAGCCCCGTGTCCGCGGCGCTTCGTCAGACATCCGAGTTGGAGCTGAGGTTTGTTAACCGGGGGTCTGCGTTGATCTCGTATCTGTAGTGGTAGCCCTCCATGTGATCCCTACAGGCATCTCTGATGTTGTGCATCCACTTTTTGATTCCTTTTCGGTTCAAGTATAAAACCAGGAGGAAAATGGCCCCGATGAGAGCCAAGACTATCCCTAAGAAGACGTATGAAGTCTGTAGCTGGGAAGGCAGGTCTACAGGCGTGGAGCAGTTGAGGTCGGAGCCGTTGATCTTCAGCAGGGCTTTGCCCACCATCCTGTCGGGGTAGGCGCAGGTCAGGGCTTCTTTGCCCTCCACCTGGTCACTCTCCTTGAGCCAGGCCACCATGTCCTCGATGGCGCAGTCGCACACCCAGGTGTTGCGGCCCAGGCTGATGCGCCGGAGGGCGGGCAGGCTGCGGAGCTGAGCCAGGGTGCCGTTCCTCAGCACGCCCAGCGAGTTCTCGCTGAGGTTCAGGCTCTGCAGCTGGCCCAGCCCCTGGAAGGAGACGTTTCGCAGCCCCACCAGGGAGTTGTTGCTGAGGTCCAGCTGCCGCAGGGCGGGCAGGGCGGCGAACATGCCGGC